CCTGAGCGGAGAGACCCCCAGGAGGCTCCTTCCTGCTGGCTCAGGCCTGCTGACCCCTGCTGGCGCTGCAGTTTGCTGGCCCTGAGGGCCATGAAGCTGCATCCTGGTGGCCAGGTGCTTGGCATAGTCCTGGACCTCTCCTCCCTGTCAGTGTTCCATAAGGTGGAGCCAAAGCTGCACCAAGGGCACTTCTAGCTCCCACAGAGCCCCTGAGCAACTGCCCCCAGATCCTGTCCCGATAACCCTCCCTGGGGATGTCTCTCAGTCACCCAGCCGTAACACACCAGGTCTGACGTGTCTTCTCCACCCCAGACTCACAGCTTCTCTTCAGCTCCCAGGGGAATGGGACAGCAGGGTGAAAGGGAGTAGGGGTGTTGGCCAGGGACATGTGGCTCTGAGCCATGATGTTCCCAAGAGCACTTCATGCAGAGGACAGTGGCTGCAAAATAAACCTGAGATGAAGGAGGTAAGCGAGCCTGAGCCACGCAAAGACCAAGTCTCTGGATTAGCTGCACCAAAATATAGGCCTTGTCCCTCACCACAGATCCCCAGAGATGTCTTGAAATATTTCACCTTGGTGTGAGGAAATCCGTTCCAGAGGGTATCTGCCCATCAGAAAGGCCTAGAACTGCCCTGCCAAGGCCTCTGTAGAACAGACCAGCAGGGCCAGCTTTAGGTTAGTTTTAACTCACATGCTACTTGGGGAAAAACAGCAGAAGGGAAGAGAAAAGCCTGCAGCTCTATCTCCCTGCTGCAGCCCAATAGAAAAAGAGACAGAGGGTCTTAGTACTCACTGACTTTAGCAGACCCACTGTCACAGTGGATGATCATATGTCCTCTGAGAAGCAGGTGGAGCCACACCCACCTCCTTGGAGTGGAAAGTGAGAAGAGAAGCCCCAGACTTCCTTCTCCTGAAATCCAGAATGGTGGATCATTTGCTTAGGCCATGCTCTTTCCTCATTAAATACGTCCTGTCCCATAAAATCTCTCCTCTCCACCCGGCTCAGGTGTGCACTCACCTGCCCTGCCACACAAGTCTTCTAAGCCTCCTCCCTGGCGTTTTTATAACCTCTATTCTACTTCTGTATCCAAGCTGGAATGATCTTTGATCTCACTGCATCCTCCTGCGGCCGCCACCCCCTACATAGCAGCGAAGTCTCTGTGATCTGTCCATCACTGCAGCCCCGCCCTCCAGTCTGGATGCTCCCGCACATGCCCAGCTCTCTGCAGCCCATCTCAGTTCCTGAGGTCCTGCCTGTCCTGAGATCAACCCCTCCCCACTCGTTTCTGTGTCTTCGTTACCCTGTGCCCGTGTTGTCTTGCCCCTCTCCTCCTTGATGCTGTGGTCTCCTTCCTGTTTTCTCTTATTCAAGCCCCTAGTCATCTCAAAGATCAGCTCTTTCCGCATCAGCACCTCCTCTTTGTAGCCTCACTCTCCCTCTTGGACTGGGAAGGTCCCTCCTGCACCTGATTATTTCAACCCTCCAGCGGGAACTCTGTAGTGGACTTATTTGTATACAGTTGGACCAGACAGGGAGCTCCTGGGGGAATGGCATGATGTGTGGTTGACTTTTTTTAATTCCTGGCTTGTGAAATAACTTGGCACACATTCTTATGTCCTTAAAAAGTGGGATGGTTGGAGGGTTTGAATGAACGAATGGGAGTGTGCTTTTAAATTCTAAATGGCTATGCAAATGGAAGTCTGTTTTCAGTGATATCTCCATTGAGTACATGGCTGGTGACTACTTTCTGGAAAAGGAGGAGGAATTAGAGAAATGGAAAAAGACACATTCTCCAAAACACAAACATGTAGGGTTTTCTCCCAACCTGCCAATACTCTGATACTTTTGTAAAATACAGAAAGAAAACTTTTTGAGAAAAGTTAAACAGACAAGAATAAGACCTACCAAATATAAGTACAGGTTTATGAGTAGATTCAGCAGATATTTAGTTGTCCTGGCAAACTATGAGCATGCTCACTCTCAGCTTTGTACTTACCTCATTGCAGAGCAGAAACAGTGTGCAAATTAGTTCCTGCCCATTTACTGCACCTTAAGTTAGACTTGTATATTTTTAGTAGCCACCCGTGGAATGAAAAAATTAATGAGAGGAAACCACTCATGTGTAAATCTAATGGTGGAGATGGTAAGGACATAAACTAATTAGAAAATAAACAGAGGACATTTAAAATTGCAAAATGGAAAATTATTGGAATGGTAAAATAGCCCTCTTAGTATATGCCACTGCTCACTGCTCCCCACCCCCAAAGTGGTGGGCGTGCATTGATACTCTTACAGAATAATTGTCTTTGTGCAAAAGTTTTAAATTGATCCTTCATTGTTAACAGTATGGTAGCCAAAGGTGCTGACATTGTCAATAAAATTAATAAGCAGAACAACAGGCTCTAATAAATGTCATTGGTATCCTTACTCTGTCATTTTTGAGCACAAATGAACTGTTATTATCACTGCGCTTCAAACCTCTCATTTTGGCTCCAGATGATTATAGCTATAATGGAGAACTTGCTACTGGAGTCTTCAGTAACTGGTTCAAGGTTAAAGCCTCATACTTAAAAGCTTAACTGTGGAAAAGTGGATGGAACATGCTGGGGCCGTACGACTTTGATCTGTTTTCTAGAGTTATCTGCAAAATCTTGGACACCCAATGATCTATTTTCTCAATAATTTCAGAAAATAAGCATCTTTTAAAATCCAGTGTCTGTACCATGGATGCTGAGGGTTTTGAAGCTCTCAATTAGAGAGGGCCATCATTGGTTGGAAACCAGGGTCATGTGAGTCTTTAAAGCCACATGGAACTCTTCAAGCCCCTTTTCCCATCTTTCTCTTACATGAAGAATTTAGTCTTGGTTTTCTACAAGTGAGCATGCTTTGTACATGAAGTATGGAAAAGGGTTTTTCCTTCTCTTGTAAAGCCCCAATGCAGAACATCTGGAGCCAGCCAGGTGAATTTGGGACGCACACCCACCTCAATCCCACCTCTCACCCATAGCTCCCCAGATTATTCTGCTTTACCTTCTTAGTTTTGCATGCTACATGATTTTTAAAGTGTCCAGCAAGGCATTAAACTATCCTCAATTATAGGCATTCCAAGCAAGTCAAGGATTAGCCCATTGTACCATGTGTGATTTAACAGAAATATTGATGAATACGTTTGATTTTTTTAGAAAGCTCAAGTTGGTTCAACATGCACTGTTACTTCAATTCTCACCTTCCTTAGCTTCTTTTATTTGGGCATTAACTTCCTCCTCTGCAAGCGTCCAAACTCATTATCATTGTTCAGTTCCTGACAGTAAGGAGAACAGGCCTTGCTTTCGTGGGGGTTTAAAGGCCACTACACTTAGATTTATGAATCTGGTACCTTATGGAGACGATCACTTTCTTGAAAATAAAATCTGTTACCAACGAAGCTCGATTAAAAAAAAAAAAGTCTATTAGCATTGTTTCATGTGTGACAGTGATTTTAGTTTGAAAAAGCTAAAATTGAAACTTATGCAAACCATAAAGTGTGCTACTTAAGAAAGTTGATGAGGAAGCCTCTGCCTTTTTTTTTTTCTTCTGACAAGTGAATTCTTTTTATTCTCATGGCATAGGGAACATTCTCTGAAATAAATCCGATATTAGGGCACAAATCAAATCTTAGCAAATACAAAACAATAGGGATAATTCCTTGCATCCTATCAGACCATAAAGGAATAAAATAGGAATCAATGACAAGGTAAAAATATACAATATTCTAACACCTGAATAAATAATACATTTCTTAAAAAAAATATGAAAGCTTGTTTTTAGAAATTCTGGGCTGTTTTCCCCAGTTTTGATCAGAACCTCTCTTTGCCGCCTCTCTTATTCCTGTACTGCTTAATTTGGATTCCAGTCCCCATAGTTTCTCCCCAGCATACAGCCCTGTTTTTTGGAGGAACAAAAAGAACCCTAAAGAATGTGGATTATGAAAAGGTGTGAGGAGGAGTCCTCTAATGGCTCTCAAATCCCAGTTCTCCTTGGAGTCCCCTCTGAGCACCTCTCTCACTGCTGGGCGTGGACTGCGGTTTAGTGCTGCGGCTCCCTGGTCTGGTGGCTCCTCTGGGGCTGGCTTCCTCTGGGGCTGCAGGTCGCACGCTCCCTTTGATAGGGGGCCTTGCTGCATTGTTCAGCCTCGGGCAGGGGATTGTATTTATTTTTTCATTTTACATTATTTCAGCTGTTTTCACTTTTTTCTTGTTGTTTTCTCGCCTCCTGCTGAGTTCTTTTTCAAGCGTTGCAGGGGGGAAGGGAACACTCAGTTATGAACCCTGCAGCACACACAGGGTGGGAAGCCGTTTTCCCCTTTCTCAGCAATTCAAAGAGCTCCTCCGCACTGTCAGTTGAATCCGCTGGAGATCTGGACCCGTGGTAGATCTGCATGCAAGTGGTTTCTATGTTAAAACACCTCAGACCATTCCAGAGCGTCCTCAGGGCTCACGGGTACTGATCACAAAGCATAAGCCTATTGCACAAGTGCTTATTATTTTAGAAGCTTTTGTAAAGCAAATTGGTATTTGAGGAAGAATTTGGTTCTATACTCTAACAACTGACTACTTTATGACTTAAAGGTTGTGTTTAAAATAACTGTCCCATTTTAGAACTTTTATTTCTGGTTTCCCACTACATGAAGTTTGGAGTCTTTTAAATCAGTCAAGGAATCAGGAGCCATTATGCCAAAATTGACGTTATTGGTAACCATTCCTGCTCTTCATCTAGGGAAGCTCTAGTACCTTCCAAACCTTCAATGTATACCACACTCTTTCACCTTGCTAAAGTTCCATGTTCTCTAGGTGAGTAGTTTAATCGTCAATGAGGGAACAGCTCTGGATTCTCAGGGTCCAGTTAATGAGCACAACAGCATCAGAATCATTTGAAACAGACCTGAGCGACTTGTCTTGCATAACTAAAGGTGACCTGGAAAAGCTCAGGTGTGTTTAACTCTGTGTGTTGACTTCACAGGATTACCTCGACTGTATCAGGGACCAAGCAAAACTTCCCCTGGGGACTGAAGACAGAGCCGCCCTTTTTGGAAACATACAGGACATCTATCACTTCAATAGGTAAGCTGATACTCAAAAGACTGCTCTCACATGGGAACATCATGAATTTTTCTCAAATGAATATCGGCTAAGAAAATTCACCTGTAACTCCTGGTTCTGCTTCTTACATCTTTACAGCCTATCATGCCGTGAAGTTCAAGTTCTCTAACTAAAGGCATCCTTGTTTCCTATGTGATTTTTCACATTTATTCAGTATTCTATCCCTCTCCATTCTTCTGACTTAGTGCAGAGACCTGTTTGCCCTGAAGTGGGGCATGGAAACCCTCTTCCACAACCAAACATCCCCAAATACACATTTCCCGGGTCTCCAGCATCCACAGCTATGCTGGATTTTCTGTGTATTTTCTTCTTCCTGAGGAGTGGGATGGACACAGTAAAATACAGTCAGTCCTTTAAGTTATAACATAATTAATCTAATTTAAAATCCACTTAATTAATAATCATTTCAAATAATTTAATTCAGATGTCTATTAAGTACCTCCTAGGTTGCAAGAACTAGAAAATTACATTAGTAAACAAGAGAGGGAACTGACGGGAGCGGAAGTGAGCACATCAGTCACTACAATCCGCTAAGGACCTTTGGAAGACGAGCTAGTAGGTGGGCTAACCACACAGGTGCTAACGCTCAGCACCCATGGATGCCTATGCCAGCTAAGCCATGCCCAGGCCCTGGGTGAGTCTTCAAACCCAATGAAATACCTCCTTCACTTCAAGTCTTTGATCAAATCGTACTTTTGCTATGAGGTTCACCAGGTACCCCTACCCACTCACCCCTACCCCTCATCTCCTTTACTTTTTCCTTTCTCTCGTGACACTTGTCAACTCCTCGCATTCTGTATGATGGGCGTTTCCATTATGTCTGTGTTTCTTCCTTCCCACCCCACTCCCAGAATAATCGACAAGGACAGGGATCTGTTTTGTTACTGCTGCAGCATCTAAAACAGCTTCTGGCCCCTAGGAGACGTCCTCACTCTTGTTGAATGAATGAGTGGAAATGCTAGGAAACGCCACCTCCCTCCTGCTGCTCTTGGGAAGCTTCAGGGACCCGACAGACCCATCGAAATGGTAGCCAGTTAAGATGCAGATTTTGTAATAGTAAATTGCCATTATGAAATTCTGCCCTGCCCTGTCCTTTTGTGGTTGGTCATGCAGGCTCAATCCTACTCCTCTTTGCTCACTAAGATTGGTAAAGGTGAGCTCCTTGGGGACCGGATCCCTGTGTCCATTGCCACTCTTAAATCCCTGATACCTAGCACCAGGCCGGCCTCTGGGAGGCAGGTTCGTTGAGTTGATTCAAATCATCCTTTATTCTGGAAGTCTTTGACATAAGAAATGCCAGAGTTATGTCAGCATTTCCCTCTTACTTGACGCTAGACTTTGAAAACCAGTGTGTGAGTCTGTGGTTTTCCACCTGTGCTCTGTATGGAATCACCTGGGAAATTTTTGGAAACAATCCAGTGGCTGGATCCTCCCTCCAGAAATACTGATTCATTGGTCTGGGGTGGGGCTGTGGCATCAGAATTTGTCAAAAGGTCCTCAGGTGTTTGAACTGCGCAGCCATGGTTCCCCTGTCTTGAAAAAAATTAACTCAATAATGAGAAGATAAAGAAGGAGCATAAAATACTGAATTAGAGAATCCAGAACCTGTGTATTCCTTAGTAAGATGTTGGTAGGAACCCAGGTCCCCGTTAGCTATTGCTGGTGATAAACTCCCATAAGCCTCTGCAGGGTTTCCCCTTCCAGAGCCCACCTGAAAGAGGCAAAAGTGTTAGATGCTGTTAGGGCCCTGGCCAAGGTCTCCTGTGGTGTGGCTGTAAGTTGATGGTAACAAGTAGGTAGGGGGTGAGTGCTTCCCTCTGCCGGAGGCCAGAGAGCTTCAGATCCATTATCACTTCACAAGTATCATGTGGGACTAGCTGGCCCCAAACCCCAGGTGTTGGGCCACGTACCCTCCAGCCAGATGGAGCCCAGCTTGTCCAGCTGTGGTTAATGAAGCTGTGGCTGACCCCAAGAGAGATTTTGACTCCCTGGAATTTAAATGTTCATGTGCCTCCTGAGTTAAAGACAAAAATGAGGTCGTAAGAAGGGACTTGGCAGTGGAACCCAGTCTACAAAGGTTGGATGGCTGAGAGACCTTGACATTCCTGAATTGATTCTCTGTTCTTTTCTGTTTGATGTTCATTGCTCCTGAAAGTCAGACTTGTCTAAAGTAAACCTGAGTCAGGGTGAATGAACAGCCTGATGGTGATGCACACGAGGCATCAATGCAGTGACGCCACCACAAGGGGTCATGCCCATGCCTGTCCCTGTGTGGCTCACACCTGTGTGTTCCCTGGACATGCATAACCTCATTGCATCTTCCAACACTCTGGTGCAGATACGATGAAGCCTTATACATTCTTTTTTTAAAATTTTTTTTATAGTTGTAGATGGACAGCACACCTTTATTTTATTTATTTATTTTTAATGTGGTGCTGAAGATTGAACCCAGTGCCTCCCTAGTGCTAGGCAAGCGCTCTGCCTCTGAGCTCCAGCCCCAGCCCCAGCCCCTAATACATTGTTTATAGATGAGGAATGAATTGTTAATGGTCAGGAAGTCCTCTGTCCAAGGACATAGAGCTAGAAATCTAGTCTTGTCCATCTGAATACTTATTTTTACCAGACTTCAGTACCTTTCACTGCTTTGGATGACTGAGAAGACCTTGACATTCCTGAATTGCTTTCAAAAAATATTTAACTCTGACATTTGAATCTTCTGTACTGTTTCGACCCCATTTGTTTTTATTTCCTTTCTCTTAAACCCACAATTGTCTTTTTTGCTATTCTATTTGATTAAGTAAGAGTATTGATGTATCTTTTTATGTCAGTGCTGCTTATGAATCTTTTATTATATACTGTAGATCAATTGATTTCAAAGAAAACTATCTGGCAAATTAATGTTGGGGCTTGAAATAAAAACCTTTAAAGTTTCTATTCTTAGTTCAGATCCAGGGTTTTCAACATAATAATATTGCATTTCCAAAATTAAAGAGAAAATTAAACAAAAAAATTGTTTTACATTGGCCTAAAAAAAATGCAGCTGAGTAGACTTCTTCCTTCAGGAAATACAGGGAGAGTATCCCTAATCTGACAATCCAAAATTGAAATGCTCCAAAATCTGGAATCTTTTGAGCATTAACATGGTGTCACAAGTAGAAAATTTCACATCTGACTTCATATGATATGTCACAGTTAAAACACAAGCACATCTTTCAGTAGATGAATAGATAAAGAATATGCAGTACATAGACACAATGGAATATTACTCAGCCATAAAGAAAAATGAAATTATGGCATTTGCCAGTAAATGGATGGAATCAGAGACTATCATGCTAAGTGAAATAAGCCAGTCCCCCAAAAACAAAAATCAAATGTTTTCTCTGATATTTAGATGCTAATACACAATAAGGTAGGGGGAGGGAAGAATAGAAGTTAATTTGATTAGACAAAGGGGAATGAAGGAAGGAGGGAGAGAGGGGAATAGGATGACAGTAGAATGAATCAGACATAACTTTCCTATGTTTAATATGAATACACGACTAGTGAAGCTCCACATCATGCACAACCACAAGAATGGAAAGTTATACTCCATGTATGTATGATATATCAAATACATTCTACTGTCATGTATAATCAAAAAGAACATATAAAAATTAAAAGGATAAAAACAAGACACAAGCACATTAAAAATACTGTCAAATTACCCTCAAGTTGTATATAAGGTATGCATATAACAAATGAGGCTGTGTTTAGTCTTGGGTCCCATCTCCACAATATGTCATTTTGAGCAAGCAAATATTCCCAATTCTGAAAAAGTATGAAATCTAAAACACTTCTGGTCCCAAGCATACAGTATAAGGGATACGTGACCTGTAGTTCCAAAATGCAGGAAAGCATCAGCGTATGATACACACCCATGAACCACCCACCTCTATCTGAGCCTTTCTTGTTCCATATTAGCTTTAGAAGTTTTTTAAAGCATAAAGACATTAGAGATAATACTGAAGCCAATTAGATACTCTCCCCCAGCGGCACGTGGCTTTGGAGAATGGCTGACACTGGTTGGTAAACCAGTTCTCCAGCACGGAGACAGGAGGAGGGAGGTCTGGAATTTATAGTGTTCATGAATTTCTGTGGTATTTTACTAATAGCTTTATTAAGAAATGTAACTCTACACAATCCACTGGTTTAAAATGTACATAGTGTTTCACAGTGACTTCAAAGAGAGTTAATTTTAGAACATTTTTGTCACCCCAAAAAGAAACTCTACACCCTTTTGCAGTCATTCCCACTTCCTTCACCCCCAGGCCCTAGCAACCACATCTGCTTTCTGTCTCTAGTTTGCCTATTCTGGGCTTTTCATATAGACAGAATCAAAGACTCTATGGCCTTTTGTGACTGGCTTCTTTCATTAAGCATAACATCTTTGAGGTCTATGCCAATTGCAGCATACATCAGCACTTCATTCCTTTTTGTTTCTAAATAATATTCCATTGTATGGATATACCACAACTTATTTACTCGTTACCAAGTTGCTGGGAATTTGGGTGATTTATAGTTGCAGTTCATTTAACTACTATAAAGTACTCCATGGGGGCTCTATCCCTTTGTGTTGTGCCAATTGCAGTAAATAGGAGCATCTTTCTTATTGGCCCCTTAGGTTTCTTTTGTGGTTTCCTGGATCACATCCATTGTCCAATTTCCTGTTGGGATGTTTCTTTTTCTTGTTGTTGTAAAGGAGTCCTTGATGAATTCTAGCTAGTGATCTTCATATATCATGTTCCAAATAAATTCTAGAATGAGACATGTCTTTTAACTCTAATTATGGTTTCTTTGAGAATGAGTTATTAAAATCATAAGTTTGACAACACAAAATATAATTTTAAAAAGTTTTTTTTAGTTGTAGTTGGCACAATACCTTTACTTATTTATTTATTTTTATGTGGTGCTGAGGATCCAAC